TGTTGCATCGTTTGGCCATGTGCCCACTTAAACTACAAATTCTACATATTTTTTGTTTTTCAAGAAAAAATGACATCTTTGATAGAGCGTGCTTCTTGTAAATTCTTTGAGTTTTTTCTGGGTTTTCGACTGGAAAAACTTTTTTACTTGGTCTCATTTGTGAATTTTTAAGAGTCGGTGGATCGAGTGAAAATGGGATTCCTTCAATCTGTTTGACCTTTTCTTTTTCCGAATTTTCTTTATAATTTGAACTGTTTAATTTATAAACAGTTGAAATAATGTTTAACCATTGTGCTTTAAGTGAGGGGGTGTAGAGTATGGTATCAACAATTTCATCAAAAGCAACGACATGGTCTTTTGCTTGTCCATAGATTTAATTTCTCAGTTACAGTTCGTTTCACAAAGGAGTGTTCGGCAATCGACACTTGCTCCACAAAAGCACCAACACCAAAGTCTGACAGTTCAAAGAGTGGTTCTCGAAGTCCAAGTACTTTGTCATACAAGCGTTTATAAAGCTGATGAACACAAGGACAAACTTGTTTGAGTTTTAAATAAGCATCACATGGACAATAGTATTTGGTGGAACCTTCAAGCTGCGCGAGCATTGGGACCATTGAATAATTATTAAGAAGATAGACTATCCACTCACGTTTAATTTTGTTTATATTCTGAAGACCGATAAGCTTGTTGACGTTTTGTAATTGAATTTCTGTATAATATGAAATATAATTATTCACAAATTTGTTTGCCTTCTCAATAAATATTTGTGTCACTTCAATCAATGTAACAATTTTCCCTTTTGTTTCACGTTTTATTACTCCAAAAACCCCTTCGACTACATTTGTGGTCAAGTCGTGTGTGATTCTTTCTGTGTATTGAGGAATCCAACTTAATTTTGTTTCTTCGAGTTGCTCAAGAAATCTAGTCTTTTCATTTCCCAATATTTTAACAGAAGAGTGTTGTTGACATGATTGACAATAGTCAATAAATTCATGAAAAAGATCAACATTATCAAGAACTCTGCCTTCTTTTGTGTATTCAGAATCTTTGCATTCTGATTTATAGGTTGCAATTAATTCCAAAAATTGTTCACCTGTAATTTCCCGATTTATTAGCTTTTTAAAAGACTTATAAATTGTTGAATTTTTGCCAAAAGCGGTTATAATGTTGCGTCTTATATGTCTGTAACAAAATAAATTTTTGCACTTGGAAATATCAAACGAATTGCTGTTGTTTGAGCAGCACAACGATCAACAACAAACGTGTTTATATTGTTGTGATGGTCTTTTAGAAAAGATAGAAATTCTTCGTAATAAGACGTGAATCTATGCCTGATAAATCCAAAAGCTATAAGTTGGCACTTTCCGTTGATGTCTTTGCATAAAGCTGCAACAATTGGTATTTGAAATTTGTTGGTGCAAAACTTGTCGTCTAAAAAGACGCAATCTTGACAGATGTCATTTCTAAGTAACTTGTTAAAGAAAAAGCATTCATCGAAAACATCATTTGAATTATTAACAAAAAGTGTATCAAAGTTTGACAACTCAAAAACAAACTTCAATAGTTGATTGCATTGTTCATTTGTCATTGCACCCAACATTCGTTTTCTTTCTTTTTTAATAAATAATTAATGTAATTTAATTAATTAATAATTAAATTAATTAAATAATTTAGTGTACTTGTTTTTGAGTTTGTCTTCTGTGATTTTTTGCGAAACATTTTGCTCTATATCATTTGCAATTATCTCTTTTGAAATTTCTGACATTCGATTTCTCAACATTTTCATTTGTTTTATCGTGAATGCGTGTGAATGTCCATCATGTAACTCAAATTTAATTATCTTTTCACTTGTACAATTATCAAACATCACAATAATTTTAGAATCACACTTATATTGTTGTTTGTATACACAGTTATATTTAAACGTTTTTCTATCTTTACCTGTGTCTTTTGCATTATATAGTGAAAACAAAGTATTATCAATTTGAATTCTACTTGCTTCAACTTTTTTGTCGTTGTATTGTATCTAGCAAGACTCGTAGTTATCATTTTAAGTTTGTTGATTAATTCAATTGGAGTTCGGACTTTTGTTAAATCTGTGTTGTTTTTGATAATTAGTTGTACGTTGAATTTATCTGTAGATTCAATATTCTGAGTATTTGGAAATTTTGGTATCATAATTCCATTCAGTTTATCTATAAGTCCATTTTTCCAATCTAAAACATTTTCAAAACCCCTTTCCATTTTGTTATTTTTAAGTTTTATTATAAAAACAAAGTTTGTGTTTATACATATGAGAAAAAAGTGACAATTGTAATTACCCTGTTGTTTGGTTTTATTCCCTGTAGTTTTGTTGATGAAATAACAATTTATGTCGAAGTATATTACTTTATTTTATCGGGACATTTCACTTGTTCTATTTCTATTTATAATTGCGATTGCGGACGAAAGCCAGCACCCTTATTTTAACTTACATAATTAATTTTATAAAAATTATTAAATTATAAATGAAGATTAAAATAGTATTATTATTAATCATTAGTAATGTTCAAGATGTTTTTTGAATGTCAATTAATAAATTAATATTTTATTGATTTATAAAAAATATTATTTTTAATCACAACTTTTAAAAATCGATTATCAATTTTACTCGTAATGAATAATTGTGTTTGATGAATACCAATGATCACCAAAGTTTTGAACACTTTTTGGAATTGTCAAACTGCTTAGATGAGGGCATTCGATAAAACAATCACTTTTAATTGAGGTGACACTTGATGGTATAACCACACTGCTCAAACTGTCACAGTGTTCAAAACAATTATAAGGAAGTGATGACACACTTGATGGTATAGTCACGCTGCTTAGACTGTTACACCAACAGAAACAGAAATCATCAAGTGATGTCACACTCGATGGGATAGTCACACCACTCAGTTTTTCACATTCATCAAAACATCCATTTTCAAGTGAGGAGACACTCGATGGTATGGTCACACTTGTCAAACTGTGACATTCACTAAAACAACTTCTATCAATGAATGACACACTTGATGGGATATCAACACTTTTCAAACTTGTGCACCCAAGAAAACATTCCTCACCAAGTGATGTCACACTAGTTGGTATTGTAAGATGACTTAGACTACTGCACCAACATAAACATTGATATCTGAGTGATGGCACACAATATGGTATTACCACACTGCTCAGACTGGTACATTCATTAAAACATTGACTACCAAGTGATGTCATTGTTGATAATAGTATCACATTGCTGAGACTTTTGCAATTATAAAAACAATAATCACCAATAGATTTGACATTTGATGGAATTGTCACACTTTCCAATGTTTTACATTTTTCAAAACAGCCATTACCTATTGCTGTTACATTTAAGGGGATATTACTGCCAAATTTGTGTCTGTTGTATTTTGTGTAAGTCACTCGTTTAAATACAACGTTACGATCTTTGTTTTTGTCAACAGTGCCATAATTAACACCGAACCATACAACAATCTGATAAAACATCTTTTCCAAAACAGTTACAATATCTTCGTTGACATTTTCATATTGTTCACTGTCTGAACCGGCTTTATACCGATCATCTTTTAATTCTATGTTGATAACAAATCCGTTGCCAAAGTTCTCATCGCGAGTGCTCCACAAGTGAAGTGTCTTGATATTTGGGAAGTATTTCACTGTTATGTAATTTAACGGAATTGGGTTATAATGGTACTTCTTAATGTTGTCTTTAAACTTTTTGCATACAAATTCAAGATTAACAAAGTCTTTGATGGTCTTGAAATACTTTGAGACTACCATAACGTGATAGCTATCAAGTGTGGACATTCTGATTATGGCATTTTATTTTCTGTTTAAATATATTACTACACATTTTTGTATATTATCGGAACTATATATTTTAGTATAATAAAATAATAAAATAATAATAATGAATAAATTAAAATAATAAATTAATTGTTATAATTAATTGTGTAATGATGATTATAATACTACACTTATTATAATCATTAACAAAAATATTAATAAATCTTTGTGCACAATATTTTTAAATAGAGTTTTATGTAGCAGAATGCAATATTAATTGAGTATTTTTGACGTTAATTATAAAAGGTTGCAAAGGACAATTTCATGTTTGAGATTTCACTTCTTTTTCAATGACTCGATTAAACGTTTTTATAAATAATTTGTTTTAAATATATCGTCGATAATGGTTAAAAGATATTGTAGTTAAAAAAGCCGGACGATGTTGATGTGTAAATTAACCCTTCGAGAACCAAATAACAACATAATATTACAATAAAACCCCTTATTTACTTTAATTTTATGTATTATCAAACTAACACAACAATAACAATAACATAATAATTATATGGTAAAACAACGCTATAAAACGTCAATTTAAGTCTAGAAAAATAGCTGTTTTGGATACATTATACAATGGATGACAAAAGAATAATAAATTGTATTGTAATTTTAATTATAAATAAACTATAAAAATCAACCTTTGAATAATATAACTGATAGTAAATTTATTATATATAATGATTTATTACAACAATAATTATAATAATAATAAAACTAAACCAAATAAACACCAATATGAATATAATTAAATTGAGCCAAACATGAACAGCCTTGATTATGCTTATTCGTTTTTCATTTGCATCTTTTTCCTTCTCTTGTCTGTCGTTGATTTTTGGATTGATTTTCCACCAGACAAAACGATATTTCCGTATAAGTCCTTTCTGATGTCGACATCGCACTTCATGATTGAGTTGTAAATTGTCTCGTGGATACCTGATGCTTCCATACCAAGGAATGATGGCTGGAAGAGTACTTCTGGGCATCTGAATCTCTCGTTGCCAATGGTGATGAATTGACCATCTGGAAGTTAACGTGACTTCTAGAGTTCTGATGATGAGGCAGATTTTTGCATTTCTTCGTCAAATTTAATGCAAGGCGGCAAAGTTATTTATAGTAATAAGTAATTATTTATTTTTTGAATTTTTATGCCAAATATAACAAGAAATTTGTGTGTTATTTCACACAATTATTTAATGTTGATTCACGATATTTATTGGATATTCAGATGTTTTTTCGGGATGTAAGGATTAAAAAATGATAATTTTTGATTATAAATTGGTTTTGCACATTGTTGTTTTAAAACAATGCAACTTGAAACTATAAATCTATTCATAACAAATCTTGAAATAACTAACTCAATAATAATGTTTATTCAAATTTATATCGAGTATTTTTTTGTTTTATAATAAACTATTTTGTTTTGTAGCAAGTGACGTTGTTTTATGTAAGATTTAATTAGTACTTTTAATAAATTTAAACCATTTAATTGTTAAGCAATCTTCAAATAAAAACGCAAAAATGTTCTTTGTATCTAATTTGTTAAAATAGTATTTATTAATTAAAAATAACTATAAATATCTTGCATTATTAAAACAATTGAAAAAAAAATGGTAACCTTACTGTATTTATTTTTAAAAATGAAACAAAAAAGTCTATTTAAAAACACAAAACACAATTCGTTACAAAATCAATAGAATAAACAATACATTATAAATTATCTAATAATTTAACTATAAATGTTAATAATATAATAAGTAACTATTATTTGCCTATTTTTCATTGATCCATTGTCGTTGAATAACAGATAGTCGTTAATTTAAAATATTCTTTAAAATTATCTATTTTAAAACAATAATTTTTATCATATTTTTGTTATTTGGTGTGTTTAAATAACATTATTTTAACATTATTGTTATGTGAAAAAAATATTTATTTTATTATTATTATATTATTATTTTAGACTCTATTTTATTATTGGTAAAATAATATTATAAATATAGTTTGTAATCAATTCTAACACCCAAATAATTTAAATTGTTATCTATATAACAACCACATCAATTATATTACATATAATCATTTTATTGATCATTCACTAAACCAGTGTGTTTCTGTTTATATAAATTAAATGCTTATTTGTTGTGTTTTTAATTTGAACAATATATTACAATCAAAACACGCTTTATTACAAACACTATGTATCTTCCATAATGATAACATTATAAAAAGGGGTGATTATACCATTTTTGTTATAATTATACATAAAATACAATATAGTTATAATTACACAACATTGTTATATCAATGTGATTACTAATCACTTCGATGAAATCACGTTGTTGTATAGATATTATTGTTGATGTGTTATTGTGTCAAAATAATGTCTGTTGATTGTTACTATAATGTATAACAATTATAATTATTAAACTATTATAAATAACATGATAAATTATTAATAATATATTAATTTATTTTATTATAAATTTAGTTTAAAGTGTTGTTGTTGGTTTAAGTTGTGTTGTTTTAACACTTGTTTTTTCTTTGTTTTTTATTATCTCTATACATTTACTATAAGTTTTTTTGTTTGTTGCTCAAAAATGCACAATTCGAAAATGAATAAACAGTGGCTGCAAAATATGCATTTATTTACCAAATACAAATCTTTATATTCTAGATAGATTGATAAAACACCTTTTGCCTTTTGTTTTTGTTTGAAAATGATTAAATATTCAAATTACAAACAATGAATTTATATCTTGCTTCCTCGACAGTGGCACGACGTGAAATTTAACGAGTGATCACAAAAACTAGTGGTGATCAATTTTTATTTAAATGCGATTATTTTTATTGTTAAAGTTGATTTTATAATTTTTTTTGATTTTGCGATTTTTGATACTTTTGAAAATGTATTTTAGTTATTTTTTGTATATTTTACACTTATTTTCTTTAAGATTTATTTTTCGAAGTCGGAACAAACAAAAGTGTCTTTACTTATTTTATTTCTTTTACAAACAATAGTAAAACCCAATTTTTAAATTTTTGTATTTTTCAAAGTTTACAAAAAAAATCTATTTATTTTCCCTTGTTGTTATTGTTTTTGAGATCAATTGCATATTGAAATTTCAATACACCTCAAAGTCTGTTATTTATTTTCTTTTCTTTGTTATTTTATGATGCAATTAATTTTGAATATTCCGGACCAGTATGTTATATGATGCAATTTGGTCTTTGATATATTTTATAATTAATTTTATTATTGTAATAAGTTGTGGTCATCTCAATAAATATTTGATCTGACTTTTCCATTGAACTGTGACTTGTTTCTAAAAAGGATCAAGCAAAAAAGTGAACCTTTGTTCATCCCAACTTCAACAAAAATATCACTGTTTACTATAATTTATAACATTTTAGCATAAAAATTTACTAGAGCCGTCGTTCCAGTATGTCTAGCTTTTTTGAAAAAATTAAAGAAAAAAAATCACATTTACATTACAATTGACTAAGATTTTTATTTTTTACCAATTTTGATTTTCCCGTCCTCGAAGGGTTAATCACAAAGGATTGGGGGACATCTCGTAACTTGGACAATTGGTAACTTCAACATAAAGTTCAAAAAATATATTTTTCGATGTTTTATTTTTATTTTTTTTATTAATTTTTTTTCTCGGCAAAAAATATTTAAGTATCCATTAAAAATAAAAAAGCCCAAATTGATATTCAAAAAAGTTTATAATTTTTTACATGTTTTTTTAAATTCACAACATAAAAAATATATAATATAATTATCATTTAACAATTATAACCAAATAATATTAAATTGTTAATTTTTATTATTCATCAATACAAAAAACTAATTATTATTTAATAATCAAATGTCTCAAAACCCTTCCGAAAACGACAGTAATTTTTATGAAAAATTTTCACCTGTGGGTCCTGTTCATATACTATCTCAAAGAAAAAAGGATATGATTATATACGAAAATCACTGCTTTAAAAAAATAAGGGAAGGGTATTATTCATGTGTTGCACCTAAGTGCAAAGTCCATTTAATTGGATCAACTGATGATTCTCTTCATTATGGTAAAACGACTCAACACATCGATGCCGAACAAAGTTTCAAGAAGAAGCTTTATCAGAATCAAATAAAGAAAGAACTATCACTCAATATAAATCTCAAGAAAATGACACCAAGAACTTTATTGACTCATTTCAAGAGAGGATCAATATCTACTTCAGACGCCACACTTAACAATTTATCAAAAGAAACATTGATCGCCCACCAAATCCCAATACAATTGAAGAGATTGTTGTTAATAATTACACCAACATTTTATATCATAACAATAAAAACACCACTCTTCTTTTTGGTGATATGGAACAATTGAAGCTACTTTTATCTGCAAAAATGATATGTATGGATGGAATGTTTTTAGCATGTCCCACACTTTACTCTCAACTGTATTCGATTCATGTGGTTTTACCCAATGATCAACACTTTCCGGTTGCTCATGTTCTGATGAATGAACGTTCTGAAACATCATATACTCAATTGTTCATATCTTTGGAAAATTTACTTGGACAATCCCCTTTCAAAAGAGCAGCCTTGATAATGTCTGATTTTGAAAAAGGTTTAATTGCGTCACTTTCTAAATTTGTAAATTTTGGACTCGTACACAAATGATGTTTTTATCACCAGAGACAAGCAGTAATTAAGAAAATAAGAAAATTTGGTTTGATCACTACATACAACAACCATGGTGTGTTGTTTGAAGCTGTCCAATTAATGTACAGTTTGAGCTTTTTAAAACCCAACGAAGTAAGAGAAGCGTTTGATATTTTGAAAGTATGGTATGGCAGTTGTAAAGAAGTCGTTCGAATATTTGAATATTTTCAAAACACGTGGATTTGTGGCAGTTTTCCTTTGATGATGTGGAATCAAAGAAGTGCTTTGATTCGAACAA